AATACTAAAAAGTGATAAACCAACAAAGGAAATAAGCTATACATAATTTAAAGAATGGCAAATAACGATAATTACCTCTAAATAATAATGACAGTGTGAAGTAAACACAGAAGCAGTATTGGTAAATTCAGTAAATCAGATTGAAAGTTACAATTCTGAAAAGTAATACGTTAGAGAGAGAGAGAGAGAGGCATAATAACCGAGGACGCGGTAGATTACTGAAAACACTTTCTCAGGGTTAATTAGATAACCATTATCGATTAGGGTAGCTGAAACCTCACTGTTTATGCAACTAGTTGCCCCTTTACTCAGACATCCAGTTACTCCTTCGCGTGAGCGTATTGATAAAACCGTCTGAGTATGGCTTATGTGAATAGCTTTTCGGGAGCTGATAGATGCACACTAATGAGAGCATCATGGGCAATTTATCCTTGACTCTCTGTGTCAGTCCCAGTTTAGTTGCAGGGATGTCCTTCTAACCTACCATTTCAATCGATATTTTACAGTGTCTTTAGCGATTTCACTTCGGTAACTTAACTTCCTGTCGAACGTTTTCTTACCTATGACGTCTATCATTACTCTATCTCTGCGTGCCAACATGTCCACTCTACTTTTTCCTCTTCTGAATAAAATGCAAGGAAATTCAAATTACAATCAGTATTATTCTTTCGTGTTTCAAGTGGAACATAGAGATTTAAGCTTTGAATTTTCAATGGCAGTTTCGTTCTTTATGAGATGAGGTTACCATCCTCACATACAACCTTTCCACTTTAACAGACGTACCACCACTCAGCAAATAAGTTGACGTTAAGCAGTGCATCGGCCGTAAACCAAACCCCCGGACAACATGCGTGGTTGGCGAGAATTCGCTCGCTGAACCGTCTAGGCAGATACATGAATACATAATTATTTTGAAATCAAAATGGTCTTCAAAACAACTAAAAATAGCTAACAATCGGTTGGAGTAGTCAGAAAACAAATTAATGGTGGCATAGAATTCATTAAAGTGAATTACTTGTTAGTATCAGGATAGTGATCGCACTAAACGATGCTGATGGCGATAATAATAACAGTAATAAGGTTGAGTCTAGCTTCTCTCCTCCGTAGTTTGTTTTTACAAAAATGTCACACAAAATTGAATATTACTGCTTAGAATACTTCTAATTATCAAAATGAATAGTCTTTGGAATTTTATATTCTTAAGAACTATAAGAATATCTCATTAGTAATTATGATAATAATAATAATGTTTTGAATGACACGTAAATAAGTAAAACTCTACGCTAATATAAACAGAGGTCAAGTAATGCAGGTAATACTTGCCAAAATCCTGACTGACTAATAATCAAGTGAAGTGAAGAAGTTTAACCGTAGTAAAATGAAAGAATTTTTTGGCGTTGTCATTCATTTCATTTCATTTCATTCTGTCACAATTATCACTACTCAAAACACTTTGCTGGCTAAAAACAAAGTATGCCCTAGTTATAATTTACAATTCTTAATAAGGCTCACAAGTGAAGTGGATTAAGAATCAGGTTTAAAACCGACACAATGTGTCAGTGTATTTGATAAAAGATAAATCAAACAGTTCCATAGCTGCTTGCAAGTCAGTCTTCCACTATATCTAACAATGGTTCGATGGTTTCCGGTTCAGGATACTTTTCCCTGATCCTACTCCTTGTTATTAGACTGAGTATTCCTGTTAGTACTTTTCATATATATAACTCAAATGAAAACAAACGCTTAACAACTTTGATATAACATATTAACCAATTCAAATTATTCTACGTAACTCTAAATGTGAAACACTTTTACATGAAATGACGAAAATAATTCTAATGTAAATTATAGACAGCACTTAACAGATATTTGGTTCTAGATTGAGACTCTTCAAAAGTCCTCACTGACGACCTCGTCAGGGATAGAAAACGCGACCTTAAGATTAAGAGGCGAATCCATTGACCAATCAGCCATTAGGTCAAAATTTAATAGCCTGTGAATTCTACCTTCTGTGAATTGGTGATATGGCCCTACCGATAACCAATGATATTTAATTAGTGTGCAGTTCTACCTGACACTTTGGAACCTATTGGCGATGGCTTTTCCTTAGGACTTTAAGACTTCTTTCTAATCGCCACTTATTAGATGAAGATTGGCATAAAAGTTACAAGTCTTTATCCACCCACGTCAGCATAAAGTTGTTGCTCATCTATGGCATAGAGGCGCTATATAATACGAATCAACAGAAGTTAGAATTCAAAAGTCACTGAGTTCTGACTGAATCACTGGATGGTCAATGAGATAGCAGAAGGTCTCGTATTCGACCTCTATTAGGGTCATGGGTGCTCACTTCCTAAGAGTCCCAGTCTAGAACTTAACAGCTGTCAATAACTTCCTGGTTCCCGATGACTCTACACTGAAATTAACAGACCTCAACTGACAAAGTGCCTTGTGGTTGGCGTAATGTGAACTCATAGAAGAACGGTGTAGTAAGGTAAACTTATAAGCAAGTAACAAGTTCTGGGGTTTTTTTCATCGGCAGTCAGTATTATGTAAGCTGCTTATGTCCAAGACTTTATCTTCAGTGATATTCCCACCAATCTTCAATCATCTTCATTCGCTCTCTGATACCATGCTGATGAATGTCAAAAGTCAAAGTAGTTATATAATGTTAATTTACATTCTAATGACTGTATGCAAGCATTTACTAGTGAAATACTGATTCCCCCCTTGAGAGGATGATTGCGATTGCAGGGTTCGCTCATAAATGGTATAGCAAGCACTACAACAGCTATCCCATCTGAGGATGAAATCGATAAAACAACTTTAAAACAGTCAAATGTAACATTTAGCATGACTAAAGTATTTCTTTAAACACGTAATGAAAAGTCACATAAGATTGACTACTACAGAAAGTTCAAATTGTTGTAATTGACCATGTTTCCTCTATCTCATATCAAGGTGGTGGAAACAAGACGGAGGTAAATTTGTTTGTCGATAACTCAAACCTATCAGTTATTCACCCGATAAGTATTTACTTACGTAATACTAATCCTTTGGGTAAATTTAACTTAAAATAAACAACCCTTACTACAATGAGTTACACAAGAATGATTATTTCAAGAATTTTCAGTTGACATTAAGCGTGCCACAAACATATTAAGTCGTAGATAATTATTATTCAACCCATAAATTATAGTGATTGGTTAATTTGTTATTTTTATGTCTATTCATCACTCTCCATGTGTCTGTCATTCTATTTTGTAGCAAAACTATTCCCTTGATTTGATTGCTTCTTTTTCTTTAAAATATATTCAGTAAAAAAGCGTAGGGTTAGTATATGTGGGTTACTTATAATTTTGTAATCAGTCAAGTTGATTTTATCCAATACCAACTGGAACTGAAGGCGGTATACACATCATGTGTAACGAAGATTGTAACATGGTAAGTTAATCTGTGAATCCACTTTTAAACCCTGTGATAGGTTACTCCATTTTCAAATACTTTATTTTAGTTGAATAATGTATGCAGGGGTTCTGTGCTTTCTAACTTTGTTTTCTCCATTTTACCAGTACTAGTACTAGTACAAAAGGAGTCAATAATAATAATAATAGTTTTTACACCTACGCTAAGTCTGTTATTATTAACCAAGCCTACAATATTGTATATTTCTCTTTAATTCTATCCAATTCACACAGTGTGAAGGTTTGGAAGATACACGTCTCCTTGCATTATGCGGAGCTTCCATTATAACGATAAGGCATCTTGTGAATAAACGGCAGCATACTTTCGAATTTTTCAGCCTTATTTCTGTTTTCTTTGCTTTTTGTTTTTTGATACACTGTTTTTTTCTTATAATCATACATCAATAATTAATAATATTTATTTCTTGCAAATTCAATATTTGGAATGGAATAAATATATACTGAAATGACAATGATCAAGTCAGCGTATATGTGAGTGAGAATTGCATAAATATATTTATCGAATCAAGAGAGAAAAGTCTTCTTTTCAACTCACTTATACTTTTGTTTTCTCCGTCGATATTTCAGATCAATCAGCTATCAATATACAAATATAAAAAATAATATAACAATAAGAATAATGAAGACAAATGCTTCTGATATACTCTCGTGTTTATCAAACTTTATTACACCATGTTTTGCTGCTACAGAACTTATGGAGACATAATCCTTCACATTGATATCAATTCAAACGATTAAATTCCTCTTCTGTTTTCTATTCAACCAACTGAATACACCTAGTGTTGTGTTATATTGTGTATGCATTATTTTACAAATATTAACATTAAATCTGGAAGCTACCTGCTTTATATAATTCAATAAACAAATCTACTACTAACCATGTCTACTGATAAATTGAATACACCTGATGAATGCGCTAAAATTGAACAACAAGTAGTCAAAGAAAATCTAATTGAAGATGATTACAAAGTTAAATTAGACGATGAAGTCTACAAAACTCTAACAGATCCTGTCTGTGAAAAATCAAAACTATCCGATGTTTGGGAGACTAGTCATACACCACCATTAGAATCAACATTAACAAAAAATCCAATGAAATCTAGTAATACAAATTTAGACGACAAAAAAGGTAGTTATGACGATCTTGGTATTGATGAAGACAATAAACATAAATTATCTACTGATACACTCAAAGAGAATTCGAATTATCGAATTACAGACCATTATGAAACGTATTTGACGAGTATTGAAAAGGATATTTGTACAGAATTTGATAATCCATTGTATATACCGATTAAATTACCGTTAAGCAGTAATTTATACGTTCCAGTATATTATGTACAGTCGAGTGAAGAAGCCTCACCTAAATCACGTAAACATAATGTGGATTATAATGATAATAATAATATTAATGATTCAACGGTAAGTCACAAGTTTATATTGTCTGATGATAATAGTTATCTAAGAGGACATGATTCCCCTGCTAGACTAGAAGCTGATCATCATATAAATACCAATAATCAGGGATATGAGAACTATGTATTACCGCACTACACATCTGAAATTAGTCCAGATCACTGTGATTTAAAAATGTGTCAGGTAGAGATAACACCTGATCAACTTCCAATTAATGTGAAGCATTCAGGGAAAAAATTAAGACCAACATCCGATAAACCAGCTAAAGAAAAGATAACTTTCAAGAAGACTAAGTCAAAGACCGAAAAATCAAAAGATGAAGAGTCTATGCCTATCTCAAAGAACAAAGAACGACATAAAGATACTACTGGCTGTTCGCCAAGATTAAAAATAAAAAAGAAGGTCAGAAGTAGTAACAATAAGGAGAGAATCAAGCGCGAGACGTCAAAAAAAGACAGTTTCAGGGAAGTAAGTGGAAAGTCAGAAGACAATCAAGACTACACAATAACTGAAGAACATCCACGCGTCGAATGTAAACTAAGGGGAAAGCAAAAAAACAAAATGAAAAAACAGAACAATTGGAAACCATGCGTTCCTAGCAAAAGTGAGAAACTCAACAAAAAGGCCAAGACGAAAGAAACAAAAACGGAAACAAATCAAGACGAGGCATCAACGAAAAAAAAGAAGACATCGATGAAAACACCACTTACCAACACGAAAACAACGAGCAAAAAGATCAATCCAATCTGAAAAACGAAAAAGAAAAAATTAAACCAAAACTCAAAATAGGAATTCGACATAAGAAAAAGACATATAGCACTCCCAAACATGGAGTGAAGGCGGAGGGAGAGGGAGGTGCGAAGGTAGATTTGGACGCCGGACTGGACGCCCACATTGATGGCAAAGCAAGCAAAGGAGGTAAGAAATTCCACTGGTCTCCGAAGTTCGGGTTCCCGAAGGGTGGTCTGAAGATAGGTGGTGGTGCTAGAAAGCCGGACGCCTCAATATCTGTCTCGGCTCCGACTGGTGGTGTTGATGTCTCAGTTCCGAAACCCGATCTCGACGTCTCCTTGGAGGTTCCTGATGTGGAGGTATCTGCGTCTGTGCCGGAAATCGGCGTGTCAGGTGGTGCAGGTAGAGGTGGAGAGTTGGGAGTGACTGGACAGGTTTCGGCTCCCGATGTGGACGTCAGTGTTCCATCGAAGAAGTTCACCTTCGGTTGGGGCTCCAAAGGCAAGAAGGCGAAGAAGGCGAAGTTGCCGAAGGTGTCGGGAGACATAGGTGCTGGTGTCGATGTCAGTGGGAAGGTTGACGTTCCCAGTGTTGAGGTCGATGTAGACGCAGATGCTCATGGCAAAGGTAAGAAGTTCAACTGGTCCCCTAAAATCACTTTGCCAAAGTTCAAGATGCACATGCCAGAGGTGTCTGGAAAACTGCATGCAGATGCACCCGATGTGAGTGTGAGTGGAACTGTTCCATCTGTGGAATTGCCATCATTGAGAGCCAGTGGTAATTTGCCGAGTGTCGACGTGTCCCTTCCAGACGCATCGTTAACAGGTGATCTCTCTGGTAAGCTGGATCTAGATGGGACTGGCGTGAAGATCAACGACGCTGATTTGAAACTGCCTGACCTGGAGATATCAGGAGGTGTGAGTGCACCGTCTGTGGAGGGTGACTTGTCCATTCCTCAGGTGTCTGCCGGTCTGGACACAGATGTGAAACTACCCAGTGCTGAATTGGACGTGAAATTGCCTAGTGTACAGCTGACCGGTCCAGATCTCGACGTGCATGGTGTAGCGCCAGATGCAGGTGTGAGTGCGAGTGTCGATGTTCCCAAACCGCATATTTCAATCAAGGCACCGAAATTCGGTTTCGGTTTTGGTAATAAGAAGGCGAAATTGAAGACACCGAAAGCTGGTGTGAAGGTGGAGGGAGAGGGAGGTGCGAAGGTAGATTTGGACGCCGGACTGGACGCCCACATTGATGGCAAAGCAAGCAAAGGAGGTAAGAAATTCCACTGGTCTCCGAAGTTCGGGTTCCCGAAGGGTGGTCTGAAGATAGGTGGTGGTGCTAGAAAGCCGGACGCCTCAATATCTGTCTCGGCTCCGACTGGTGGTGTTGATGTCTCAGTTCCGAAACCCGATCTCGACGTCTCCTTGGAGGTTCCTGATGTGGAGGTATCTGCGTCTGTGCCGGAAATCGGCGTGTCAGGTGGTGCAGGTAGAGGTGGAGAGTTGGGAGTGACTGGACAGGTTTCGGCTCCCGATGTGGACGTCAGTGTTCCATCGAAGAAGTTCACCTTCGGTTGGGGCTCCAAAGGCAAGAAGGCGAAGAAGGCGAAGTTGCCGAAGGTGTCGGGAGACATAGGTGCTGGTGTCGATGTCAGTGGGAAGGTTGACGTTCCCAGTGTTGAGGTCGATGTAGACGCAGATGCTCATGGCAAAGGTAAGAAGTTCAACTGGTCCCCTAAAATCACTTTGCCAAAGTTCAAGATGCACATGCCAGAGGTGTCTGGAAAACTGCATGCAGATGCACCCGATGTGAGTGTGAGTGGAACTGTTCCATCTGTGGAATTGCCATCATTGAGAGCCAGTGGTAATTTGCCGAGTGTCGACGTGTCCCTTCCAGACGCATCGTTAACAGGTGATCTCTCTGGTAAGCTGGATCTAGATGGGACTGGCGTGAAGATCAACGACGCTGATTTGAAACTGCCTGACCTGGAGATATCAGGAGGTGTGAGTGCACCGTCTGTGGAGGGTGACTTGTCCATTCCTCAGGTGTCTGCCGGTCTGGACACAGATGTGAAACTACCCAGTGCTGAATTGGACGTGAAATTGCCTAGTGTACAGCTGACCGGTCCAGATCTCGACGTGCATGGTGTAGCGCCAGATGCAGGTGTGAGTGCGAGTGTCGATGTTCCCAAACCGCATATTTCAATCAAGGCACCGAAATTCGGTTTCGGTTTTGGTAATAAGAAGGCGAAATTGAAGACACCGAAAGCTGGTGTGAAGGTGGAGGGAGAGGGAGGTGCGAAGGTAGATTTGGACGCCGGACTGGACGCCCACATTGATGGCAAAGCAAGCAAAGGAGGTAAGAAATTCCACTGGTCTCCGAAGTTCGGGTTCCCGAAGGGTGGTCTGAAGATAGGTGGTGGTGCTAGAAAGCCGGACGCCTCAATATCTGTCTCGGCTCCGACTGGTGGTGTTGATGTCTCAGTTCCGAAACCCGATCTCGACGTCTCCTTGGAGGTTCCTGATGTGGAGGTATCTGCGTCTGTGCCGGAAATCGGCGTGTCAGGTGGTGCAGGTAGAGGTGGAGAGTTGGGAGTGACTGGACAGGTTTCGGCTCCCGATGTGGACGTCAGTGTTCCATCGAAGAAGTTCACCTTCGGTTGGGGCTCCAAAGGCAAGAAGGCGAAGAAGGCGAAGTTGCCGAAGGTGTCGGGAGACATAGGTGCTGGTGTCGATGTCAGTGGGAAGGTTGACGTTCCCAGTGTTGAGGTCGATGTAGACGCAGATGCTCATGGCAAAGGTAAGAAGTTCAACTGGTCCCCTAAAATCACTTTGCCAAAGTTCAAGATGCACATGCCAGAGGTGTCTGGAAAACTGCATGCAGATGCACCCGATGTGAGTGTGAGTGGAACTGTTCCATCTGTGGAATTGCCATCATTGAGAGCCAGTGGTAATTTGCCGAGTGTCGACGTGTCCCTTCCAGACGCATCGTTAACAGGTGATCTCTCTGGTAAGCTGGATCTAGATGGGACTGGCGTGAAGATCAACGACGCTGATTTGAAACTGCCTGACCTGGAGATATCAGGAGGTGTGAGTGCACCGTCTGTGGAGGGTGACTTGTCCATTCCTCAGGTGTCTGCCGGTCTGGACACAGATGTGAAACTACCCAGTGCTGAATTGGACGTGAAATTGCCTAGTGTACAGCTGACCGGTCCAGATCTCGACGTGCATGGTGTAGCGCCAGATGCAGGTGTGAGTGCGAGTGTCGATGTTCCCAAACCGCATATTTCAATCAAGGCACCGAAATTCGGTTTCGGTTTTGGTAATAAGAAGGCGAAATTGAAGACACCGAAAGCTGGTGTGAAGGTGGAGGGAGAGGGAGGTGCGAAGGTAGATTTGGACGCCGGACTGGACGCCCACATTGATGGCAAAGCAAGCAAAGGAGGTAAGAAATTCCACTGGTCTCCGAAGTTCGGGTTCCCGAAGGGTGGTCTGAAGATAGGTGGTGGTGCTAGAAAGCCGGACGCCTCAATATCTGTCTCGGCTCCGACTGGTGGTGTTGATGTCTCAGTTCCGAAACCCGATCTCGACGTCTCCTTGGAGGTTCCTGATGTGGAGGTATCTGCGTCTGTGCCGGAAATCGGCGTGTCAGGTGGTGCAGGTAGAGGTGGAGAGTTGGGAGTGACTGGACAGGTTTCGGCTCCCGATGTGGACGTCAGTGTTCCATCGAAGAAGTTCACCTTCGGTTGGGGCTCCAAAGGCAAGAAGGCGAAGAAGGCGAAGTTGCCGAAGGTGTCGGGAGACATAGGTGCTGGTGTCGATGTCAGTGGGAAGGTTGACGTTCCCAGTGTTGAGGTCGATGTAGACGCAGATGCTCATGGCAAAGGTAAGAAGTTCAACTGGTCCCCTAAAATCACTTTGCCAAAGTTCAAGATGCACATGCCAGAGGTGTCTGGAAAACTGCATGCAGATGCACCCGATGTGAGTGTGAGTGGAACTGTTCCATCTGTGGAATTGCCATCATTGAGAGCCAGTGGTAATTTGCCGAGTGTCGACGTGTCCCTTCCAGACGCATCGTTAACAGGTGATCTCTCTGGTAAGCTGGATCTAGATGGGACTGGCGTGAAGATCAACGACGCTGATTTGAAACTGCCTGACCTGGAGATATCAGGAGGTGTGAGTGCACCGTCTGTGGAGGGTGACTTGTCCATTCCTCAGGTGTCTGCCGGTCTGGACACAGATGTGAAACTACCCAGTGCTGAATTGGACGTGAAATTGCCTAGTGTACAGCTGACCGGTCCAGATCTCGACGTGCATGGTGTAGCGCCAGATGCAGGTGTGAGTGCGAGTGTCGATGTTCCCAAACCGCATATTTCAATCAAGGCACCGAAATTCGGTTTCGGTTTTGGTAATAAGAAGGCGAAATTGAAGACACCGAAAGCTGGTGTGAAGGTGGAGGGAGAGGGAGGTGCGAAGGTAGATTTGGACGCCGGACTGGACGCCCACATTGATGGCAAAGCAAGCAAAGGAGGTAAGAAATTCCACTGGTCTCCGAAGTTCGGGTTCCCGAAGGGTGGTCTGAAGATAGGTGGTGGTGCTAGAAAGCCGGACGCCTCAATATCTGTCTCGGCTCCGACTGGTGGTGTTGATGTCTCAGTTCCGAAACCCGATCTCGACGTCTCCTTGGAGGTTCCTGATGTGGAGGTATCTGCGTCTGTGCCGGAAATCGGCGTGTCAGGTGGTGCAGGTAGAGGTGGAGAGTTGGGAGTGACTGGACAGGTTTCGGCTCCCGATGTGGACGTCAGTGTTCCATCGAAGAAGTTCACCTTCGGTTGGGGCTCCAAAGGCAAGAAGGCGAAGAAGGCGAAGTTGCCGAAGGTGTCGGGAGACATAGGTGCTGGTGTCGATGTCAGTGGGAAGGTTGACGTTCCCAGTGTTGAGGTCGATGTAGACGCAGATGCTCATGGCAAAGGTAAGAAGTTCAACTGGTCCCCTAAAATCACTTTGCCAAAGTTCAAGATGCACATGCCAGAGGTGTCTGGAAAACTGCATGCAGATGCACCCGATGTGAGTGTGAGTGGAACTGTTCCATCTGTGGAATTGCCATCATTGAGAGCCAGTGGTAATTTGCCGAGTGTCGACGTGTCCCTTCCAGACGCATCGTTAACAGGTGATCTCTCTGGTAAGCTGGATCTAGATGGGACTGGCGTGAAGATCAACGACGCTGATTTGAAACTGCCTGACCTGGAGATATCAGGAGGTGTGAGTGCACCGTCTGTGGAGGGTGACTTGTCCATTCCTCAGGTGTCTGCCGGTCTGGACACAGATGTGAAACTACCCAGTGCTGAATTGGACGTGAAATTGCCTAGTGTACAGCTGACCGGTCCAGATCTCGACGTGCATGGTGTAGCGCCAGATGCAGGTGTGAGTGCGAGTGTCGATGTTCCCAAACCGCATATTTCAATCAAGGCACCGAAATTCGGTTTCGGTTTTGGTAATAAGAAGGCGAAATTGAAGACACCGAAAGCTGGTGTGAAGGTGGAGGGAGAGGGAGGTGCGAAGGTAGATTTGGACGCCGGACTGGACGCCCACATTGATGGCAAAGCAAGCAAAGGAGGTAAGAAATTCCACTGGTCTCCGAAGTTCGGGTTCCCGAAGGGTGGTCTGAAGATAGGTGGTGGTGCTAGAAAGCCGGACGCCTCAATATCTGTCTCGGCTCCGACTGGTGGTGTTGATGTCTCAGTTCCGAAACCCGATCTCGACGTCTCCTTGGAGGTTCCTGATGTGGAGGTATCTGCGTCTGTGCCGGAAATCGGCGTGTCAGGTGGTGCAGGTAGAGGTGGAGAGTTGGGAGTGACTGGACAGGTTTCGGCTCCCGATGTGGACGTCAGTGTTCCATCGAAGAAGTTCACCTTCGGTTGGGGCTCCAAAGGCAAGAAGGCGAAGAAGGCGAAGTTGCCGAAGGTGTCGGGAGACATAGGTGCTGGTGTCGATGTCAGTGGGAAGGTTGACGTTCCCAGTGTTGAGGTCGATGTAGACGCAGATGCTCATGGCAAAGGTAAGAAGTTCAACTGGTCCCCTAAAATCACTTTGCCAAAGTTCAAGATGCACATGCCAGAGGTGTCTGGAAAACTGCATGCAGATGCACCCGATGTGAGTGTGAGTGGAACTGTTCCATCTGTGGAATTGCCATCATTGAGAGCCAGTGGTAATTTGCCGAGTGTCGACGTGTCCCTTCCAGACGCATCGTTAACAGGTGATCTCTCTGGTAAGCTGGATCTAGATGGGACTGGCGTGAAGATCAACGACGCTGATTTGAAACTGCCTGACCTGGAGATATCAGGAGGTGTGAGTGCACCGTCTGTGGAGGGTGACTTGTCCATTCCTCAGGTGTCTGCCGGTCTGGACACAGATGTGAAACTACCCAGTGCTGAATTGGACGTGAAATTGCCTAGTGTACAGCTGACCGGTCCAGATCTCGACGTGCATGGTGTAGCGCCAGATGCAGGTGTGAGTGCGAGTGTCGATGTTCCCAAACCGCATATTTCAATCAAGGCACCGAAATTCGGTTTCGGTTTTGGTAATAAGAAGGCGAAATTGAAGACACCGAAAGCTGGTGTGAAGGTGGAGGGAGAGGGAGGTGCGAAGGTAGATTTGGACGCCGGACTGGACGCCCACATTGATGGCAAAGCAAGCAAAGGAGGTAAGAAATTCCACTGGTCTCCGAAGTTCGGGTTCCCGAAGGGTGGTCTGAAGATAGGTGGTGGTGCTAGAAAGCCGGACGCCTCAATATCTGTCTCGGCTCCGACTGGTGGTGTTGATGTCTCAGTTCCGAAACCCGATCTCGACGTCTCCTTGGAGGTTCCTGATGTGGAGGTATCTGCGTCTGTGCCGGAAATCGGCGTGTCAGGTGGTGCAGGTAGAGGTGGAGAGTTGGGAGTGACTGGACAGGTTTCGGCTCCCGATGTGGACGTCAGTGTTCCATCGAAGAAGTTCACCTTCGGTTGGGGCTCCAAAGGCAAGAAGGCGAAGAAGGCGAAGTTGCCGAAGGTGTCGGGAGACATAGGTGCTGGTGTCGATGTCAGTGGGAAGGTTGACGTTCCCAGTGTTGAGGTCGATGTAGACGCAGATGCTCATGGCAAAGGTAAGAAGTTCAACTGGTCCCCTAAAATCACTTTGCCAAAGTTCAAGATGCACATGCCAGAGGTGTCTGGAAAACTGCATGCAGATGCACCCGATGTGAGTGTGAGTGGAACTGTTCCATCTGTGGAATTGCCATCATTGAGAGCCAGTGGTAATTTGCCGAGTGTCGACGTGTCCCTTCCAGACGCATCGTTAACAGGTGATCTCTCTGGTAAGCTGGATCTAGATGGGACTGGCGTGAAGATCAACGACGCTGATTTGAAACTGCCTGACCTGGAGATATCAGGAGGTGTGAGTGCACCGTCTGTGGAGGGTGACTTGTCCATTCCTCAGGTGTCTGCCGGTCTGGACACAGATGTGAAACTACCCAGTGCTGAATTGGACGTGAAATTGCCTAGTGTACAGCTGACCGGTCCAGATCTCGACGTGCATGGTGTAGCGCCAGATGCAGGTGTGAGTGCGAGTGTCGATGTTCCCAAACCGCATATTTCAATCAAGGCACCGAAATTCGGTTTCGGTTTTGGTAATAAGAAGGCGAAATTGAAGACACCGAAAGCTGGTGTGAAGGTGGAGGGAGAGGGAGGTGCGAAGGTAGATTTGGACGCCGGACTGGACGCCCACATTGATGGCAAAGCAAGCAAAGGAGGTAAGAAATTCCACTGGTCTCCGAAGTTCGGGTTCCCGAAGGGTGGTCTGAAGATAGGTGGTGGTGCTAGAAAGCCGGACGCCTCAATATCTGTCTCGGCTCCGACTGGTGGTGTTGATGTCTCAGTTCCGAAACCCGATCTCGACGTCTCCTTGGAGGTTCCTGATGTGGAGGTATCTGCGTCTGTGCCGGAAATCGGCGTGTCAGGTGGTGCAGGTAGAGGTGGAGAGTTGGGAGTGACTGGACAGGTTTCGGCTCCCGATGTGGACGTCAGTGTTCCATCGAAGAAGTTCACCTTCGGTTGGGGCTCCAAAGGCAAGAAGGCGAAGAAGGCGAAGTTGCCGAAGGTGTCGGGAGACATAGGTGCTGGTGTCGATGTCAGTGGGAAGGTTGACGTTCCCAGTGTTGAGGTCGATGTAGACGCAGATGCTCATGGCAAAGGTAAGAAGTTCAACTGGTCCCCTAAAATCACTTTGCCAAAGTTCAAGATGCACATGCCAGAGGTGTCTGGAAAACTGCATGCAGATGCACCCGATGTGAGTGTGAGTGGAACTGTTCCATCTGTGGAATTGCCATCATTGAGAGCCAGTGGTAATTTGCCGAGTGTCGACGTGTCCCTTCCAGACGCATCGTTAACAGGTGATCTCTCTGGTAAGCTGGATCTAGATGGGACTGGCGTGAAGATCAACGACGCTGATTTGAAACTGCCTGACCTGGAGATATCAGGAGGTGTGAGTGCACCGTCTGTGGAGGGTGACTTGTCCATTCCTCAGGTGTCTGCCGGTCTGGACACAGATGTGAAACTACCCAGTGCTGAATTGGACGTGAAATTGCCTAGTGTACAGCTGACCGGTCCAGATCTCGACGTGCATGGTGTAGCGCCAGATGCAGGTGTGAGTGCGAGTGTCGATGTTCCCAAACCGCATATTTCAATCAAGGCACCGAAATTCGGTTTCGGTTTTGGTAATAAGAAGGCGAAATTGAAGACACCGAAAGCTGGTGTGAAGGTGGAGGGAGAGGGAGGTGCGAAGGTAGATTTGGACGCCGGACTGGACGCCCACATTGATGGCAAAGCAAGCAAAGGAGGTAAGAAATTCCACTGGTCTCCGAAGTTCGGGTTCCCGAAGGGTGGTCTGAAGATAGGTGGTGGTGCTAGAAAGCCGGACGCCTCAATATCTGTCTCGGCTCCGACTGGTGGTGTTGATGTCTCAGTTCCGAAACCCGATCTCGACGTCTCCTTGGAGGTTCCTGATGTGGAGGTATCTGCGTCTGTGCCGGAAATCGGCGTGTCAGGTGGTGCAGGTAGAGGTGGAGAGTTGGGAGTGACTGGACAGGTTTCGGCTCCCGATGTGGACGTCAGTGTTCCATCGAAGAAGTTCACCTTCGGTTGGGGCTCCAAAGGCAAGAAGGCGAAGAAGGCGAAGTTGCCGAAGGTGTCGGGAGACATAGGTGCTGGTGTCGATGTCAGTGGGAAGGTTGACGTTCCCAGTGTTGAGGTCGATGTAGACGCAGATGCTCATGGCAAAGGTAAGAAGTTCAACTGGTCCCCTAAAATCACTTTGCCAAAGTTCAAGATGCACATGCCAGAGGTGTCTGGAAAACTGCATGCAGATGCACCCGATGTGAGTGTGAGTGGAACTGTTCCATCTGTGGAATTGCCATCATTGAGAGCCAGTGGTAATTTGCCGAGTGTCGACGTGTCCCTTCCAGACGCATCGTTAACAGGTGATCTCTCTGGTAAGCTGGATCTAGATGGGACTGGCGTGAAGATCAACGACGCTGATTTGAAACTGCCTGACCTGGAGATATCAGGAGGTGTGAGTGCACCGTCTGTGGAGGGTGACTTGTCCATTCCTCAGGTGTCTGCCGGTCTGGACACAGATGTGAAACTACCCAGTGCTGAATTGGACGTGAAATTGCCTAGTGTACAGCTGACCGGTCCAGATCTCGACGTGCATGGTGTAGCGCCAGATGCAGGTGTGAGTGCGAGTGTCGACGTTCCCAAACCGCATATTTCAATCAAGGCACCGAAATTCGGTTTCGGTTTTGGTAATAAGAAGGCGAAATTGAAGACACCGAAAGCTGGTGTGAAGGTGGAGGGAGAGGGAGGTGCGAAGGTAGATTTGGACGCCGGACTGGACGCCCACATTGATGGCAAAGCAAGCAAAGGAGGTAAGAAATTCCACTGGTCTCCGAAGTTCGGGTTCCCGAAGGGTGGTCTGAAGATAGGTGGTGGTGCTAGAAAGCCGGACGCCTCAATATCTGTCTCGGCTCCGACTGGTGGTGTTGATGTCTCAGTTCCGAAACCCGATCTCGACGTCTCCTTGGAGGTTCCTGATGTGGAGGTATCTGCGTCTGTGCCGGAAATCGGCGTGTCAGGTGGTGCAGGTAGAGGTGGAGAGTTGGGAGTGACTGGACAGGTTTCGGCTCCCGATGTGGACGTCAGTGTTCCATCGAAGAAGTTCACCTTCGGTTGGGGCTCCAAAGGCAAGAAGGCGAAGAAGGCGAAGTTGCCGAAGGTGTCGGGAGACATAGGTGCTGGTGTCGATGTCAGTGGGAAGGTTGACGTTCCCAGTGTTGAGGTCGATGTAGACGCAGATGCTCATGGCAAAGGTAAGAAGTTCAACTGGTCCCCTAAAATCACTTTGCCAAAGTTCAAGATGCACATGCCAGAGGTGTCTGGAAAACTGCATGCAGATGCACCCGATGTGAGTGTGAGTGGAACTGTTCCATCTGTGGAATTGCCATCATTGAGAGCCAGTGGTAATTTGCCGAGTGTCGACGTGTCCCTTCCAGACGCATCGTTAACAGGTGATCTCTCTGGTAAGCTGGATCTAGATGGGACTGGCGTGAAGATCAACGACGCTGATTTGAAACTGCCTGACCTGGAGATATCAGGAGGTGTGAGTGCACCGTCTGTGGAGGGTGACTTGTCCATTCCTCAGGTGTCTGCCGGTCTGGACACAGATGTGAAACTACCCAGTGCTGAATTGGACGTGAAATTGCCTAGTGTACAGCTGACCGGTCCAGATCTCGACGTGCATGGTGTAGCGCCAGATGCAGGTGTGAGTGCGAGTGTCGACGTTCCCAAACCGCATATTTCAATCAAGGCACCGAAATTCGGTTTCGGTTTTGGTAATAAGAAGGCGAAATTGAAGACACCGAAAGCTGGTGTGAAGGTGGAGGGAGAGGGAGGTGCGAAGGTAGATTTGGACGCCGGACTGGACGCCCACATTGATGGCAAAGCAAGCAAAGGAGGTAAGAAATTCCACTGGTCTCCGAAGTTCGGGTTCCCGAAGGGTGGTCTGAAGATAGGTGGTGGTGCTAGAAAGCCGGACGCCTCAATATCTGTCTCGGCTCCGACTGGTGGTGTTGATGTCTCAGTTCCGAAACCCGATCTCGACGTCTCCTTGGAGGTTCCTGATGTGGAGGTATCTGCGTCTGTGCCGGAAATCGGCGTGTCAGGTGGTGCAGGTAGAGGTGGAGAGTTGGGAGTGACTGGACAGGTTTCGGCTCCCGATGTGGACGTCAGTGTTCCATCGAAGAAGTTCACCTTCGGTTGGGGCTCCAAAGGCAAGAAGGCGAAGAAGGCGAAGTTGCCGAAGGTGTCGGGAGACATAGGTGCTGGTGTCGATGTCAGTGGGAAGGTTGACGTTCCCAGTGTTGAGGTCGATGTAGACGCAGATGCTCATGGCAAAGGTAAGAAGTTCAACTGGTCCCCTAAAATCACTTTGCCAAAGTTCAAGATGCACATGCCAGAGGTGTCTGGAAAACTGCATGCAGATGCACCCGATGTGAGTGTGAGTGGAACTGTTCCATCTGTGGAATTGCCATCATTGAGAGCCAGTGGTAATTTGCCGAGTGTCGACGTGTCCCTTCCAGACGCATCGTTAACAGGTGATCTCTCTGGTAAGCTGGATCTAGATGGGACTGGCGTGAAGATCAACGACGCTGATTTGAAACTGCCTGACCTGGAGATATCAGGAGGTGTGAGTGCACCGTCTGTGGAGGGTGACTTGTCCATTCCTCAGGTGTCTGCCGGTCTGGACACAGATGTGAAACTACCCAGTGCTGAATTGGACGTGAAATTGCCTAGTGTACAGCTGACCGGTCCAGATCTCGACGTGCATGGTGTAGCGCCAGATGCAGGTGTGAGTGCGAGTGTCGATGTTCCCAAACCGCATATTTCAATCAAGGCACCGAAATTCGGTTTCGGTTTTGGTAATAAGAAGGCGAAATTGAAGACACCGAAAGCTGGTGTGAAGGTGGAGGGAGAGGGAGGTGCGAAGGTAGATTTGGACGCCGGACTGGACGCCCACATTGATGGCAAAGCAAGCAAAGGAGGTAAGAAATTCCACTGGTCTCCGAAGTTCGGGTTCCCGAAGGGTGGTCTGAAGATAGGTGGTGGTGCTAGAAAGCCGGACGCCTCAATATCTGTCTCGGCTCCGACTGGTGGTGTTGATGTCTCAGTTCCGAAACCCGATCTCGACGTCTCCTTGGAGGTTCCTGATGTGGAGGTATCTGCGTCTGTGCCGGAAATCGGCGTGTCAGGTGGTGCAGGTAGAGGTGGAGAGTTGGGAGTGACTGGACAGGTTTCGGCTCCCGATGTGGACGTCAGTGTTCCATCGAAGAAGTTCACCTTCGGTTGGGGCTCCAAAGGCAAGAAGGCGAAGAAGGCGAAGTTGCCGAAGGTGTCGGGAGACATAGGTGCTGGTGTCGATGTCAGTGGGAAGGTTGACGTTCCCAGTGTTGAGGTCGATGTAGACGCAGATGCTCATGGCAAAGGTAAGAAGTTCAACTGGTCCCCTAAAATCACTTTGCCAAAGTTCAAGATGCACATGCCAGAGGTGTCTGGAAAACTGCATGCAGATGCACCCGATGTGAGTGTGAGTGGAACTGTTCCATCTGTGGAATTGCCATCATTGAGAGCCAGTGGTAATTTGCCGAGTGTCGACGTGTCCCTTCCAGACGCATCGTTAACAGGTGATCTCTCTGGTAAGCTGGATCTAGATGGGACTGGCGTGAAGATCAACGACGCTGATTTGAAACTGCCTGACCTGGAGATATCAGGAGGTGTGAGTGCACCGTCTGTGGAGGGTGACTTGTCCATTCCTCAGGTGTCTGCCGGTCTGGACACAGATGTGAAACTACCCAGTGCTGAATTGGACGTGAAATTGCCTAGTGTACAGCTGACCGGTCCAGATCTCGACGTGCATGGTGTAGCGCCAGATGCAGGTGTGAGTGCGAGTGTCGACGTTCCCAAACCGCATATTTCAATCAAGGCACCGAAATTCGGTTTCGGTTTTGGTAATAAGAAGGCGAAATTGAAGACACCGAAAGCTGGTGTGAAGGTGGAGGGAGAGGGAGGTGCGAAGGTAGATTTGGACGCCGGACTGGACGCCCACATTGATGGCAAAGCAAGCAAAGGAGGTAAGAAATTCCACTGGTCTCCGAAGTTCGGGTTCCCGAAGGGTGGTCTGAAGATAGGTGGTGGTGCTAGAAAGCCGGACGCCTCAATATCTGTCTCGGCTCCGACTGGTGGTGTTGATGTCTCAGTTCCGAAACCCGATCTCGACGTCTCCTTGGAGGTTCCTGATGTGGAGGTATCTGCGTCTGTGCCGGAAATCGGCGTGTCAGGTGGTGCAGGTAGAGGTGGAGAGTTGGGAGTGACTGGACAGGTTTCGGCTCCCGATGTGGACGTCAGTGTTCCATCGAAGAAGTTCACCTTCGGTTGGGGCTCCAAAGGCAAGAAGGCGAAGAAGGCGAAGTTGCCGAAGGTGTCGGGAGACATAGGTGCTGGTGTCGATGTCAGTGGGAAGGTTGACGTTCCCAGTGTTGAGGTCGATGTAGACGCAGATGCTCATGGCAAAGGTAAGAAGTTCAACTGGTCCCCTAAAATCACTTTGCCAAAGTTCAAGATGCACATGCCAGAGGTGTCTGGAAAACTGCATGCAGATGCACCCGATGTGAGTGTGAGTGGAACTGTTCCATCTGTGGAATTGCCATCATTGAGAGCCAGTGGTAATTTGCCGAGTGTCGACGTGTCCCTTCCAGACGCATCGTTAACAGGTGATCTCTCTGGTAAGCTGGATCTAGATGGGACTGGCGTGAAGATCAACGACGCTGATTTGAAACTGCCTGACCTGGAGATATCAGGAGGTGTGAGTGCACCGTCTGTGGAGGGTGACTTGTCCATTCCTCAGGTGTCTGCCGGTCTGGACACAGATGTGAAACTACCCAGTGCTGAATTGGACGTGAAATTGCCTAGTGTACAGCTGACCGGTCCAGATCTCGACGTGCATGGTGTAGCGCCAGATGCAGGTGTGAGTGCGAGTGTCGATGTTCCCAAACCGCATATTTCAATCAAGGCACCGAAATTCGGTTTCGGTTTTGGTAATAAGAAGGCGAAATTGAAGACACCGAAAGCTGGTGTGAAGGTGGAGGGAGAGGGAGGTGCGAAGGTAGATTTGGACGCCGGACTGGACGCCCACATTGATGGCAAAGCAAGCAAAGGAGGTAAGAAATTCCACTGGTCTCCGAAGTTCGGGTTCCCGAAGGGTGGTCTGAAGATAGGTGGTGGTGCTAGAAAGCCGGACGCCTCAATATCTGTCTCGGCTCCGACTGGTGGTGTTGATGTCTCAGTTCCGAAACCCGATCTCGACGTCTCCTTGGAGGTTCCTGATGTGGAGGTATCTGCGTCTGTGCCGGAAATCGGCGTGTCAGGTGGTGCAGGTAGAGGTGGAGAGTTGGGAGTGACTGGACAGGTTTCGGCTCCCGATGTGGACGTCAGTGTTCCATCGAAGAAGTTCACCTTCGGTTGGGGCTCCAAAGGCAAGAAGGCGAAGAAGGCGAAGTTGCCGAAGGTGTCGGGAGACATAGGTGCTGGTGTCGATGTCAGTGGGAAGGTTGACGTTCCCAGTGTTGAGGTCGATGTAGACGCAGATGCTCATGGCAAAGGTAAGAAGTTCAACTGGTCCCCTAAAATCACTTTGCCAAAGTTCAAGATGCACATGCCAGAGGTGTCTGGAAAACTGCATGCAGATGCACCCGATGTGAGTGTGAGTGGAACTGTTCCATCTGTGGAATTGCCATCATTGAGAGCCAGTGGTAATTTGCCGAGTGTCGACGTGTCCCTTCCAGACGCATCGTTAACAGGTGATCTCTCTGGTAAGCTGGATCTAGATGGGACTGGCGTGAAGATCAACGACGCTGATTTGAAACTGCCTGACCTGGAGATATCAGGAGGTGTGAGTGCACCGTCTGTGGAGGGTGACTTGTCCATTCCTCAGGTGTCTGCCGGTCTGGACACAGATGTGAAACTACCCAGTGCTGAATTGGACGTGAAATTGCCTAGTGTACAGCTGACCGGTCCAGATCTCGACGTGCATGGTGTAGCGCCAGATGCAGGTGTGAGTGCGAGTGTCGACGTTCCCAAACCGCATATTTCAATCAAGGCACCGAAATTCGGTTTCGGTTTTGGTAATAAGAAGGCGAAATTGAAGACACCGAAAGCTGGTGTGAAGGTGGAGGGAGAGGGAGGTGCGAAGGTAGATTTGGACGCCGGACTGGACGCCCACATTGATGGCAAAGCAAGCAAAGGAGGTAAGAAATTCCACTGGTCTCCGAAGTTCGGGTTCCCGAAGGGTGGTCTGAAGATAGGTGGTGGTGCTAGAAAGCCGGACGCCTCAATATCTGTCTCGGCTCCGACTGGTGGTGTTGATGTCTCAGTTCCGAAACCCGATCTCGACGTCTCCTTGGAGGTTCCTGATGTGGAGGTATCTGCGTCTGTGCCGGAAATCGGCGTGTCAGGTGGTGCAGGTAGAGGTGGAGAGTTGGGAGTGACTGGACAGGTTTCGGCTCCCGATGTGGACGTCAGTGTTCCATCGAAGAAGTTCACCTTCGGTTGGGGCTCCAAAGGCAAGAAGGCGAAGAAGGCGAAGTTGCCGAAGGTGTCGGGAGACATAGGTGCTGGTGTCGATGTCAGTGGGAAGGTTGATGTTCCGAGTGTTGACGTTGATATGGTCGATGATTCTCGTGTAATTTCGAAAAAGTCACGCTCTTCTTCTCGTTTCCCTTTTTCGCTGAGCTTAGGCCGTTCTAAATCAAAGAAGGCTGTTGTTCGTTTTGATCCTGCTGTTTCTCTTCCCTCTGGCGATTATCTTTCATGTTCTCTTACTAAGTCTGTTGATTCACCGGCTTCTTCTGTGGATACTTCTTATGATGATTCTGCTATATCTCCCGATTTCATGAAATCTGTTCTTTCTGACGAGGAGTTCATTCCTCCAGTTGTTTCCTTTAAATCTTCTCCGACTCACTTATCACGTGAACTGTTGAAATTGGACGACAAATTGAAGGTTAAATCTGTCTCCAATGCCTTTGTTGACGATGCTGTCTTAGCAGAAGAACCTGTTATTTCCCCTGTTTGTACTACTAAGTCTTTCAACTCGGATGCATTTAATGCACGCTTTTCTCCACCTGACGCCTTTCAAGAAATCACTGAAAGCTTTTCCTCTCCTGTTGATTCGGGAATCAACGACGATGCTTCGAATGATGAAACAGTTTCAGCGGAAATTGATGAAATTTTAATCGTCCCTATTCATTGTGATCGTGTCATACCAAAAGAAGATATTTCTTCGGAGGGATTTTCATGCGAAGAACATTCAGAGGTAACAAATTATCCTGTTAGTAATCGTGATGCTTTGGAAGATTTTAAAGCTGATTATCAGAATTCAGACAGTCCACTTCACACTTCCAAGCATGTTAAACGATCGTTTTGGCCGCTTTCACACAAGAAAATAAATCTGGGTGACCATTCGGTTGAAGTTACAAGTAATCGAAACGAGGAAGGAAAAGATTCATCAGAAATGAAAAAGCATCAATATTTCATTTCTAAAGATAATTCAGATTCCATAAATGTCACAGTGCCGAAAAAGAAACATCGACCTAAACATCAGGATAAAACCCATTCAAGACTCCATATGAAAGATAAACAGCCTAGTGAATTACAAGAATACAATCAAGGTGAGATAGCTATATCTATATCTGAGCTAAATGATGACCTTACATCAACCCCACGACGCTCTCCTAGTAAATTTAGAGACCCTTCAATTAGGAAAACGTGGCATGGCGCACAAAAACCCTACAGTGACTCCACAGAAAACATCCACTTAGATGAGAACGAATGCACCTTCTCAGACGAAATTTCAGATGTATACTTAAAGCCAAGAAAAATAAATGAACATGAAAATAGTAATTCTAATGTTTCTGACTTCCTACGAAGAAGTGTAGTTAATTCAGCTAAACGTCGCCCCTGGAGTACTTTGGAGTATCCACCTCCTGAATGTCATTTTGTCGACGATGACTATCTATTTCCAGATGCTTTAACTCCTACAAAAATTCCAAGCTTTCGAGCAAGCAAAGAAGTAGTTTACGATGTACCATATATGGATGATAAAGCTCTTCCAACCTATGAACCTGAATGGCCCTTGGGTGAATCAAGGAGAACATTAATATCTCAACTATCTCAAAATAGTCTTAGTATGGTACGGATAACAGCTGAAGAAGAAAGCAGTCTTATATCTCTTGGTAAGTGAATTTAAATGTTGTGCATTTTATAATTTTTTGTTCATTTAAAAATTCTTTACCACTGATACTATATCCCATCATGAAACATTTAAATTATAAATTGTTTACTATTCAAAACTCGCTACCTAATCCACCATTTTTTAAAAAGGATGGTTTCAGATAATAGAATAATAAACAGAATAATTTATGAAGTAATTTAAGGCGTTACTGAAGTGAAATAAAAAAGTTTAGGTTCTGCAGAATGATTATTTTATGCTGACATGGATAAAAGGATGAACTGTCAAGAGTTGGTTTGTAGGGATTTGATTTGTTTTTCAAGTTTGGCCACAGGTTGATATCGGTTAGGAAACCATTGAAAACCAAGGTATACTAGACAGCTGCTTCGCCCTAGTTTGGAACTCATCATCAGTACGCACCCGCCACCAGGGTCCAGATCCAGTACCTACCAGTTACAAGGCAAGCTCGTAGACTATTAAGTCACTAGGATCTGACTCAATGGCCCATGAGATGGTACAGGTTTGAATTCATCGACCATTGAGTCAGATCCCACTGATTAATGTTCTACGAGCTTGCCTTTTAATTGGGAGGTCCTGAGTTCGAACCCTAGCAGTGAGTGTGTACCGCCGATGAATCCCGAACTAGGATTTGACAGTCATTCGGTAAACATTAGTTTCCAATGGTTCTCTGAGTGATATCAATCGATAGCCAAACTTGAACAAAAGGACGAATATTATTCAACATGATTTAAAGAATGTCATGTGCAAAAAATGTATATTTTATCTATTTGTCATCTGTATTCACCATAATTCTTTATTTTGAATGCTATTGTTGCTTCTGTGTATCAGTAATGCACTCTTATTGTCAATTATAAGCCGAAATAATGAGAGTTGTTTCAAGCCTATTTGCAAATTATTATCCTATTGACAAAACACCGCGATTAGTTTATGTTTGAATTTTTATTTGTAAAGTTATGTATATTAGAGTTAAGCCTGTTGAGATATAAGTAAAAACAGTACTGTTCCCTTAAGCGTTGATGTTTTAAGCTATTATTGTAAAAGTTTGAGAAATTACTAGGAGCAGTACAAGTAAATTAACTCACTCATATCATAGAAAATATCTTGATTCAATTTTCTATCACAATTTGTTGGTTTAGGCCAAGAAAGCAACGATTGATGGGAATGATAGAATTCTTCAGAGCACGACAAAGTTAACTGTACATGTGATACAGTTCTTTATTACATGGTATCAGTTATTCTGAAATCTAAGAAAGTATTGGTTATCGATAGGTATCTGGCAAAAATAATGAAGTCAATACTTTACTAGATTTTCTGTGAAGTTTCTGTATAGATTGGAATGATTTTCTGAGGTAGGATGTCTAATCGCATATCCAATCTCCTCTCTTTCCAGGCTTAGAACCGGTTAGTAAATTAGGTGAAGAGCTTTCACATATTTCAAAGACTTAAAAATCGTTGATGACCGTGTCTAGTGGTGGCATTGAAATCACGAGTCGCTGGAAGCTCAAATTCACGGGCCATTGGATTGTGTCCCAGTGGATGAATGATCTCCGAGTTATCCTTGTAAACAGATGGTCCTGGGTTTGAAACCTACAAGTTACGTGCCACTGAAGATTATTGGACTAGGACGACGTAGCTGTTCAGTACTCCCTGGTGTTCGATGGTTCTCTGACTGACACCATATCAGTCCGTAATCGATCTTGATGAACTTTTCAAATTATAGCTATTTTCTTTTCAAACTTCTGACAATCAATTTATTATTAAGTATTGATTTTGTAGGGACTTTTGTTTGATTGATTGAAGGATTTCATCATCAGCTGACATCAGTTAGAGAACCATTGGAAAACCCGGGAATACTAGTCGGCCGTTTTGTTCTAACTTGGGACTCTTCGGAAATAGCGCCTACTGCCAGGGTTCGAACCCAGGACGTTCTGGTTACAAGGTGATCTAGCTCATAGACCATTAAGCCACTTGGACCTGATCCAATGGCCAACCCATATATTCTTACCTC